AGATAAGAAAATTCAACAGATATTTTCTGATCACTTTACCAGATTAATATAAAAAATGAAACAATGTGTCATTATTTTCACAAGGAAATAGTAATAACATAATTATTATTTCTTTGCTCTTTATTATTACAAACAGATGTTTTATATACGATTGAAGACAAATGACGCCCATGATTTTATCACTGTAGGAAACAATTTGTAGAATTACATTAGATGTTTCTATGCAAATAAAAATTAAACATAAAAAGTTCAGTTTATAGAAAGTGATATCTGCAACAAGCCTAATACGAAACCAACTTGCACTTGCACTAATTGAGAGTTTCTGTTTGTCTATCGATTTCTAGATCACGGAAACTTATGGATCCGGTTTTAACAGGTTGGTGGCAGATTGTTGACTGAACAATAACACATTGATGTTTTTTTTTATTTTTAGTAATTTTGTTTTACTTTATTTAAATGACGTAAGTGTAGTCAATCCGATGTCAGTATAATTTTATACAGCAGAACTAATCGAAATAAATATGAAGCTTTATTTTATACAAGTGAACTTGATTTCGCCCATATTGTAATTTTGTCTGACTTCTTAGCAGTGTAAAAATAAATATATTGGGAAATAGGGACCCCAAATTTCAGACTGTCCATTCATACATATTAGAATCATATTTTAGGCCGGTACAGATAAACAACCGAAAACTGTATATCTTATACCGATTTTTGAAGATTCTGAAAAGTGTATGAAGGATAGCTGATGACAAGTCCTTGAAGACGTACAACTAATTTTGCTTTGTTGTTTTTAAAGAGTTATAAAAAGTGAAATAATCATTTTTTGTCTATAAAACGTTTCTTATATAATTCAGAGAAAAATTGTTCTAATAAAAGTTGAAGACCTTAAAAGTACTTTAATTTTGCGAGTTTCTAAATTAAAATAAATAAACAGTTGTCTGAGATTAATTAAAAAATCTGTTTTTGCAGTAATTTAGGAATGTTATAAACTTTGTTTTTTGCAATCTAGCAGTAAATCATTTTTATAATTTTTTAGGATTTTATGAACGAACGAATAGTTTCTTTTGTTAATGAAAAATGTTTGTTGATTACATAAGATAGAGGAAGACGAAAAGAATGGAATAACAAGGAGACAATGAGGCCTGTTTAGAGGCGAATCTAAAATATAGTACGCCAAAATTAAGTGGATAAAAATATGTGTTTTGAATGTTAAATAAATATTTTCCCATTCGTAGCTTTGAAAATACAAACGAGATATTTACATAAAAAAATGAATTAGAACGACAATTTCTAAGACCAACTACAATGCTTTGTTTGACTAAATCAAGTTAAATATAGGTACAAATCTCGCATTCTGACTGTGAACAATCAGCTAACACCGAATGCCGCTATCGATGGTGATGATATTTTTAATCATTGGTGTATGCGTGATGTGGCGATAAGTCATACCACACTGAGGATACAAACAATTCGTTGCTTGTTTCTGTGAAAGTACTACTGAGGCTATCAAAGCAGTTTTTTTGTTGTCCGGAGAATATCACCGTGCTAGTGCTGTTGATGATGTCTTTGCGTTATCGGCGTCGATTATTGTTCAATTGACTGTTTTGGTCGAGCATTTCGTGGATTGACGGCCGATTTCTTGGGTCAACAATAAGGGCATTTATAAAATCTATCGCAGCACTGGAAACGTCTCCAAAATGTTCCGGTTCGAAGGTGGGCGAACATTTAGAAATGCTCAGGAAAGTTTGTTGTATATCTTGCAGTCTTGAAGAGATGCAGTGATTTGCGAAACCTACATTTGTTCGACGAAATCAGGTGAAATCAAGCACTGTACACAAGAAATATGTTGTTTAACCAACGAGAAAAGTTCTTGAGTCCGTTTAGTCATGAAAGAAATACGAGCATTTATATCTTCTTGTTCTTCTTCTTTTTATGTAGATATGATACTGTCTGTTTTTAATGTGTCTCCAGTAAGTTGTCGTTCCATCGTTTTCTTGGTATTTCTACTGATAGTCTTTCTATTGGGAATCCGTCTCTTGCTGTCTTTACTACTCTATTTGCTGTCATTCGGCTTATATAATCGTTCCATTCTACTCTTCTATTCCTTACCCAGTTATTGATGTTCTCTACCTTGCATTCTTTTTGTATAATTTCTCTTAATATAATATATTAATATAATATATTGATTTTGGTTAAATATCAGAAACATTTGAGTATTTACTGATTACAAATTTAAAAAATGTTAAAACTGCTCTCCTTAAAAAGAAAGAAAATGGACATAGTGTCCTTTACCTCCGAAGTACGGAATTGCATTATAGTGGCAATGGTAGGACGGAAGTCGAAGAACTTCATGGCCATATGTAAGAGCCATTTGGTCAGTAACAAATTTCTATTAAATTTTATGCTCTTCACACCTTTGAAGTAAATAGACTTTTAAAAATATGTCACTGTGATAAATTTTCTTTTCTGACAACCACAACTTTATTTCGTCTTTTGTCTAGCTGCTTGAAGGAAATCTCTCTTCTACTCTTGAGTGGTTGGATGCATTATCCAACACTATTATGGATGGTCGCTCCAATTTTTTTAACAAATTTTCTTCAAACCATTCTTCAAAAATATTTGCATCCTTATTTCTATGGTATCAGCTGTATTCTTTGTGGACGAGAAAATTAAACTAGCGTCAGGAATAAAACCCTCATCATTTCCAGCATGAAGTATAATATTGCGGAACGACTACGAGAATAACATTTCGTGGTGCCATCTTGCCAGGATGATTTTGACATATTTCCTTTAGCGAAAATCCAAGTTTCATCTAAAAATTCAACTTGCCTCGGTCTATCAGACGTTTTATTGTTGATGTAAAAAATGCCATCGTTTTGAAACAACATTAGAGAGTTCACACAATACTTGTCTATTATTTGTCTTTTTATATCGAAAACCTTAATGTTTCAGCACGCCCCACACACTTGTTAAACTAATATCACACAGTTCCTTGTCTTGTAACACAGCAATAATTGTTACATGTTCTTTAGCTTTATACATATTATATATAATATTTTTAATTGCAAGTTTAATTGACTGGTGCAAATCTAAAGTTTTTGGATGTCGACGATTTCTCTTACTTACTTTATTTATTTCATCCTCACTCATGTTATTAATTCTTCTGAATAATGCACAAGCATCGCATGTGCGTTTCTGAACTGCCATAACAGATGTCAATGGACCTATATTATTTTTTTCCAAATTGAAATAACTTTTGACTATCAGAACTAAACGCCGTTCTTCTGGAGATAACACTCTACGTTTTGACTGTATTTTATTTTCTACCAAATTACTCATTTTACTTTAAGTACCGCTTCACTACACTACTATAAATACTTAAAAATAGATACTTAAATACAACTTCTTCTTTAAGTACCGTCTCCTCTAAGGAGGTTGGAAATGATCACAGCTATTTTCACTTTTGAGATTGCAGCTCTGAATAAGTCAACGAAACTGCAATTGTACCACTTCCTCAGATTGTTGAGCCAGGAGATGCGTCTTCCACCAATACTTCATTTTCCCTGTATTTTTCCCTGCATTATGGTTTGTAGCAATACATATTTATCCCCTCTCATAACGTGGCCGAGATATTGTAACTTTCTTATCTACAACTTATATACAACTACTACACCCGAAAGGACGAGGGTTGTACAACAGACAAAACAGTCGAACACAAATTATTTAACAGCCAATGCTAAACAACCATAAACACTGCATTGCTTGTGATTTTGCTAAATTATTAAATAATACCAACACAACCTACGACCATCAATTAATTTTTAACGATACACAGAAGTGTAATATGATGACAAGTTTGAATTTAATCTACTTTGTTGATAACAGTGTCGTTAACAGAAAAATATTTTTAAATAGCATGAATCATTTTTCAATGATTATGTGGATTTAAGAAATACATTACTAAACAAATTTTTAGAGTGTGTATAAAGGAGATTACAATTATTATTATGACACATATTTTCCCCTCCCTATTTTTCAAATATGTCCTTGTAAGGCCGTAACTTTGATTATTGGGTAAACCTACATTATACGATACGTCAAAAGAAATTAAAAATAAATTAACAAGTAATAAATTCACTATTTAAATAAATATTCCGTACTCGTACTATTGCAATAAAATATTAAAACCAATAAACGATAACTTGTTGAGCAGTGCTGATTGAAACAACATAGCAATAAATAAAATGTTATTCATAAAGGTAGTGTAAAATATATCACCGGTTATCTGGTCCGCTAATAATAAAGTTACCAACATTTAATTTCAAAGCGGTGGTTCTTAGGTGGAAAATATTTAGTTGTAGTATTTCTGGATTTCAAACGAGCCTTTGGAACTATTGATGGGAAAATTATTTTAAAGAAATTTAATGTAGGTGTATGGTTTACAAGATTCTTTACTGAAATTGATTCAAAACTACTTATCTAACAGATAACAAAAGGTTAGAGTTAAACATTTCTATTCTCCTGGAATTAATATTGACCTTGGTGTGCCTCAGGGTAGTGTTGTGGGACTTCTGCTCTATATTTTATGTTTAAACGATATTGAATTGTTTACAAAATCGTTTATTTTGTCAGCTGTCTTGCAGATGACACAGTATTAACGGAAGATTATCGCTGTTCAGATGAACCCAATTCTGCTGCAGGTTAAGTTTAAAAAAAAATGTTGAAACTAAATAACTACTAAATATAAATGCCACTAACCTGATCAATTTGCATATTGAAATCCTAAAAATTGAATCTGTGAAATTCATCAAATATCTTGGTATACAGTTAGACAATTTATTACTCTTTAATGAATACGTTAATTATATACTTAATTATTATTATAATTTATTTACTTAATTGTCTAGTTAGTGCTGTTGAGACTGATGTCCTTTCCACATAATTAAGAACGTGTGACTAACGTTTACAATCATTTAATAAATACTTTTTTATTGCAGGATCCAATATTTGTTCAAACCGAGGCCAGGAGAAAACCATCGCCCTCCCGATTTCTATCGAGCTTTGTATCCGAAGATAATTCGAGATATCGACAGCATCGAATCTAACTGGCGAAATGGAAAACACATTTTGCAACGTATCAACTGTAGATCAGAAAACAGCAAAGGAGTGTATTGTCTACAGTACGACGATCAGAAAATTGTATCTGGTTTAAGGGATAATACAATTAAAATATGGGACAGAAGTACTTTACAGTGTACCAAAGTGCTGATTGGGCATACGGGGAGTGTATTGTGTTTGCAATATGATGATAAGGTAAGATAATATTATGTTTTTAATTCCAACATAATTACGATCTACATGTTTCTGTTAGAGATGAATTACTTTTCGTAATTAAGTAACTAAAGTCAATAGTTATAATAAACGATTCAAACAGTGACTAAAATACTTGAGTTGGACGCAGAGAACAGGAGAGAAGTGGGCAGACCGCAGAAGGGGTGGACGATATCAAAAATATCGTGGGCAAGCAATTGATGAGAATCGAAGGGTAGTCACCAATGGATACAAACGGAAGGGGCCTATGTCCAGCAGTAGGCGATCATAGGCTGAAAAAATATGTGTAACAGGTGCAAAATATGTGTAACAGGTTAATATTTGCGAAAATTTGAGTTGTATTTTATTTTTAGTCCAATTTTCATAATTCTTAGCAAACTGACAATTTTAATTTGCATATACAGTATTTAGTTGAATGGTTGCACTTTAGTCATCATCAAAGGTTATTATATTCTTTCCAAATTCTTTCAAAGTGCCGATTTTTGTTAAGAATTATTATTTTTCTACATTTCCTAGTTTGGCAAATGCAGACTCGAATGACTACCTAGTGGAAAGTAGAATAAGAGCCAGAATCTCAAGCAATAAAAAAAAAGGGATCCAAAATTGAAAAATATGAAATAAAAAACTTAGCAGACAACAGCTGATGGAGTTTTCCTCCGATTTCCACCAATTGTTGTGAGGAAAGCTTATTAAATTCCTTTCCCCGTGCGTGTACAGTTCCAAATATTTTAGGACCATGGACTGTACAAGAGTGTTTCCTTCGATATATACAAGCAGAACTTCACGGCGCTGGTTCTTTATGTGTTTGATTTAATAGGGGTTGTACTAAGAGAAAAAATAAGCGTAATTAATTGAATCTACACATTTAATAACAAGAGAATATTTACACAAGCACTAATACTAACGAAAGAGTTAACATTGTCCATTATTCTATCGGCGTTTAGGGGCGCGCGAGTTATCGCGAAAACAAATACACATTTCACTGCATTTTGGCGGCGAAGAGAGAGCTTAGGTACCGGCTACTAGTACCAAACAGCTTGAGACACTAGTCACATCTGCGAGAGATTTTGAATTGAATCTTTACCTAAATTTTGCCGACAAGGCGGCGTCGGTTTTACCACTTTAAACAACCCTTATAAGCTATTTATGGCACAAATATTCTGCAGACAAAAGTACAGTCTGTAACATAAATTTCAAACCAATATTTGTAAGAACTAAAAATTATACTAAAATTAATATAAAATGTTGTTTTTACAACAACAGCAAAAAGGCAAAATACAAAGAATATATAAAAGGAAGTCTAGAAAACATACAAAAGTATGAGGATATAAATAGAGAATGAGAAGCGCGTAAAAACATCATACAAGACGCAGCCAAAGAGACCATGGGTCTACAAAAAAAGCTCAAATCAACTGAAGGACAGTGGTTCGATGAAGATTGAATCGTTCGATGAACGACTATAACAACGACGTAGAACACGAAAGATAGACGAGGAATATAGAATGCTGAGGAGGGAAGAGAAGAAAATACATCGCAGAAAGAAAAGAGAACACATAGAAAAAGAACTCCAAGAAATGGAAGAACTAAATAAACCATCAGAAACAGAAAATTATATCAAAAACTTAACAAAAGTAGAAAAGAATTTAAACCAAGAACAATGATGTGCAGAGACAAAGAAGGAGATATAGTAACTCAACAGATTGAAATACTACAAAGATGGACAGAATTCTTCAAAGAAAAGTTTGAAAACAAGTCACCTGGATTAGACAACATTAGCGTAGAATTAATAAAGGAAGGCGGAGACTCCCTATTGAATGCGATACACGAACTAATAGTGAGCATAGGGAATAATAAACAACTGCCACAAAACTGGAATACCGGATTAATTATCCCACTACATAAAACGGGAGATCAACAAATAGTTGAAGAATAATGTGATTTCTGCAGACAGAAGTCCATTAAAGAACAGATCTTCGTCTTGAGGTAAATCTTGGAAAATACTAGTGAATTTTATATACACTTTATACACTGTCGAAAAGCGATAAGAACCTATTAGGTACGTTTGAACGAAAAATCCTTAGATACATATATAAGGGGGTGAAAGAAAATAACATATGGCTCAGAAGATATAATTTTGAACTATACACAGCATACAATGCACCCGAGGTCATAACATCCATAAAGATCGGACGTCTGTGCTATATGGGCCATGTTGAACGGATGTTGGAGACTGAAACACCAAAACATATAAGACCAAAAGGGAAGACCAAAACTTAGATACATGGAACAAGTGGAACAAGATCTGAAAACACTTAAGATTCTTCTTCTTCTTGATGTGCCTATCCGTTACGAATGTTGGCGATCATCAGGGCAATCTTTATCTTATCTGCAGCAGCGTGGAAAAGCTGCACAGATGTTGTATTGAGCCAGATTCTGAGGTTCTTTAACCAAAGATGTTCTTCTTCTTCCTGGATCTCGCTTTCCAAATATTTTTTCCTTGCAGAATGGCTTGAAGGAGAGCATATCTGGATTTATTTCGCATAATGTCCGAAGAATTGTAACTTTAGAGATTTAATGGTGGTCAGTACCTCTCGGTTCTTATTCATTCTTCTAAGGACCTCCTCATTTGTGACTCGGTCAGTCCACGGGATTTTAAGTATTCTCCGATATAGCCACATCTCAAATGCTTCCAGTTTTTTGCACGTTTTTTTTTTCCAGTTCAAGGTCCACGATTCAACACAATATAAAAGGACAGAGAAGACGTAGAGGTTGTGACTAGCTTTTGCGATGGTGGATCTAGCTTTTGCGATGGGTGCTCTAATCTCCTTGTTGTTGGTAAATTCTTCATTGATTATGGTGCCGAGATAGTTGTAGTGCGGTACTCTTTCTACAGGAGATTGGTTGACCTTCTGTTATCTTTTTCTTACTAATTATCATAAGCTTTGTCTGTTTAACGGTTATATTGAGTCCATATTGTTGACTCTAATACGTGATTTTCTTCATAAGAACTTGTAGGTCTTCTAAGTTGTCCGGAAATACTATGGTGTCATAGATTAAGATTACTTAAGATTACCAACTGGAAAAACAAAGCAAGGAACAGAACAGAATGGCGGAAAATCCTAGAACAATCCAGGACCCAGAAAGGGTTGTCGAGCTACTGATGATGATGATGATTTCCTAGTTGAATTCATGCTTCAAGTGCATTGATTCGTTTAAAACAAATATTTAAAAAAAAACATTTTGTTAAAAGCTATTTTTTGAGGAGGAAGCTTTGCTAGTTATTCCTCGTTTCTCTGTCAGTTTGACAGTAATCTTAGTCATGGTTTTAAGTCGTATCAAAAAAATCGCTGAAAGTTTAAATTAAGTTAATTCAAAAGCTTTTTAACTACCCACAAGTGGACCCAAATTGCTTCCTGGTCACCGAATATCAATTTATTTTAACACACAGGGTACAAATTTAATGTTAAAATTTTACTCTAGAGTAAAAATTTAATTTGTACGATATTACTCATCATTAAAAATTCAACGGAGTACAAATTTAATTTTACACCGGGATTTCTTATGATCGAATGAGATCCGAGAACTGCGACTCTCGAGTTAGTTGTACTCGTTTAAATAATAGAATGAACCGAATGATTGCAAATAACTGCATTAATATCAAAACAAAATTTAGATTTGTGGAGTGCTCGGTTGTTTCTCAGATTTACTAATATCCAGAATTTTAATTGTTTTATTTTTGACTAAAAGTTAGGGGACCACGCGTCATAATGAGTTTAACATACTTGAAAAAATTTCTATTTTGGACATAAGACGATCTATTTTTACGAGCAAATATATTGTTTCGCTACAATTAAGTCTAAGATAGAAGACGTTTACGAAAATTACTGATAAGCATCTATATGTAGAATGTGATTATCCGTGGTAGGTTCCGAATTTCTTTATTAAATGCAAAAATACAAGCTATAGAATTTTTTATACAAAAATCAATTCACGTCAATCAAGATTTACGTCAGAACAACACAGCGTTGCTAAAAACATCAGATTAGTTCATAAGCGCGGAATTTTCAAAATGTAAACTATTTAAGAATACACTATAGTTCATTTGAAAATGATTGACAGCACAAGTTTTATAGCAAAAGTCTAAACACAGGTCAATGCAGAACAAAACATAATAATTGTTTAATTGTTGCCTTCTTATCTGAATTTTCACTGAACTTTAATATGACCACATTAATTTTTATAAAAATACTAAATATTGGTTTAGGACATTTCCTCATAATTTAATAATAAATATTTCGGGTACTAGCGTCGTATAACTTCAAATAAGGAGGCATCGTCATCATTTCCTACAGAAATAATAATGGGGTCTATTGCTTTCTTTATTAACATATCGAGTTTCCAGAACGTTTCTTCATCTGCTATGACACGTCTTATAGCCTTTTGGCAATTGTCAGATGAAATTTTTGATATGGAGTCAAGATAATAGTTGACGAACATCTTGAAGTTTAAGTGTGGTATTATTTCTCGCGACATATCCCTTCATTTGAGCCCAGATTTGTTATATGGGGTTAAGTTCACAGTGATAAGGTGCAAAGGTAAGCAACGCGATTTTTTTCATTTGCTATTTCATCGACACTATACTTCTTAAATTTTGATGAATATTGTTTGCATAGATAGCTGATAACCCTTTTTTGAGTAAACCTTCTGCTGGCACTACTATTTCTTTGATTATTAGCCAATCCAATAGTTCTTGGTTCTCCATTTATTGTTAGGCAACGGTTCCTCTAATCTTGAATTGTAACTGCATTGTCCATGACTATTACAGAATTAGTCGGTAATAAATCTATCATTTACCTGAAATATTCCTCAAAAAGCAGTCATTTTTTCATGGTATATAGTCATTCGTAGAATTTAAAATAAAATCTAGCAAACCTCCATCAAAAAATCCTTTATCTCCTTTAATATGAGTGATAATTAAATGG